AATTCTTAGATACTTTATGCACCTCAAAAGTTCATGCTGTGAGAATGGAGGTATAGGGAAATCAGGCAAAAAAAAAAAAATCCTAGGCAATATAAAGATACGTGAAGGACTCTGGAATGAATAGCATTGAGCCAAGTGTCCATTAGTTGAAGGAAATTGATGCTAAAACCATTAGGGGGCAGATGCAAGAAAGAAAACACAGATATGACATTAATGTTCGAACTTGTTCCCAAGGGATTTTATGGGTACATTGGATTATGTAATGTAGTTTCTCTGTTGGAAATATCAGATGTTTATGGACAGTGAAATTGGAGAACGATCCTCAACTCCAGGTCATCATGTCTGTATTTCTTCCTTGTATTTGTCCTGCTCTTTCCTTGTGTCTTCCGTTTACTGGATCCTTTTGGATTTAGGGTGTTTTTCTTTCCCACTGCAGTGTTAAAAAAGCAGGATACAGATTGTCATTCTTTATGGTAATTCTCCTTAAGGTTGCCTATAGCATTTTAATTTTTATTTATTTAAAAAAATTTTTATTTTCAGTGTTCCAAAACTCATTGTTTATGCACCACACCCAGTGCTCCATGTAATACATGCCCTCCATAATACCCACCACCAGGTTCACCCAAACCCCCACCCCCCTCCCCTCCAAAACCCTCAGTTTTTTTTTCTCAGAGTCCACAGTCCCTCATGGTTTGTCTCTCCCTCCGATTTCCCCAACTCACTTACAGCATTTTAAATTTCAGAAAATCAAGAACTTTATTCATTTCCCTTTGGAAAAAATAAGACAAGATTTCACCTTAGTGGTGTGTCTTCAAGAAAGCTAAAGGCTTTTGTTTAACTCTTTCTGCTTTACTCTAAGGGCATTCTGATGATCACCTAGTGTGATCTTCTGAAGTATTCCAGTCCCTGGAACTGGCTCTTAGCTGTTCCCCAGGGAGGGACCAAAAGGTTGTAAGGCTGCAGAAAAAAAAAATAGTTGGCTAAAAAACCCAAGGGCTGATTGTTGGTGAGAGTCACCAGACACAGGTGGGGGAAGTAGTTACCTGCCTCCCTCCTTTCCTGGAGAAGATGAAGATGAACAACCACCACCTGCCCTGGGATAGTTTTTCTTGTTGTTTTTGGCTTTTGGTGTTTTTAAAAGTAGTCTCCACAGCACTGGAGAGTGGAGCCTATCGCAGGCTTGAACATAGAACCCTGAATTCAAGACCTGCGCTGAGATCAATACTGTTGCTTAACCAGCTGAGCCAGCTAGGTGAGCCAATGAGGCACGCCTGCCCTTCGATAGTTTAAATGGCATTTAGGAAGAGTGTGGAGATGTACCAGAGGTATCTTTTGTGTCCTTAGTAGCCCTTGGGACTATGGAAATAGTCCATGGTTTTGGCTGGTTAACATTGCTGTGCAAGTCCTGTCTATTTAATCGAGGTTGTGGTGGGAGAAATAAATGACAGATTATGACTTTGGCATTGAATAAATAGGAGAATGCCTTGGGGATCTATTTTTAATATTGTAACTCTTAAAAATATGTGAATTGCTTCCTCTTCATCTTCTATCTAGAGGTTTAGTCCTCTGTTTTAGATTGGGGCTCACACAGCCACTTGAGGTTGTGCCCCTTATGTAACTATTATTTTGTGTTAATAAAGTAACAGAACTTTTAAATACCGAGAATATTTCAGTTGTATGAAAGTGCTTTTACTTTTAATAGTAACAGTCATTGTTATTTTCCCCCCTTCTCAGAAAGGGTGGCTGCTGAGGAATTCTTAAAGAGCATAGACTGAGTGAAAAGGACACAGAACAAAGGATATCTCCCAGGGGTGAAATGAAGAAGTTCTGTAAATAGCTGTGCTATTTTCCTTCGAAATGTCTGGCACATTCCATGTGATACAGCGGTGGGGTACCAAGGGGCCGTGTGTCTAACTCTGATGGAGCATTCCACGCTGACTCTCAGAGCCGTGCACACATGACAAGGGCATCTGGATCCTTCCAAAGTATTAAACTACTTAAATGACAAGTTTTTAAAAAAATTTCACATACATAATCCTGCCATATCACCTGTGTTCAGATAGTCACTCCTTCACCTTTGAACACCCAATTCTCTGAAAAAATCCAGCATAAGTAAGTGTTAGCTCTGAGCTGCTCTCAGGAATTTGGAGTGTGATAAGCGAAACCTGCATTTTCTAGCAAGAAACTGGCACAGAAATGGGAAGTTTTGTTTCTTGGATTCATCTCATTACCTAGAACCTGAGGCTGTTCTGAAGTCTGCGGGCCAAATCCTGCATATCTTTCCTGGCCCGGCTTAAGTGAAACACCTGCCACAACGCAGGTTTGGCCATGTTTAATTCCCTCACGCTAGTGGTCTCACAGTCATGGTTTATTATTCTCCTTAATGGTGATTTCTCCATTCCTATTTTAAAATAATTTTAAACTTCTGTTTGTTTATTGTCTGTCCTCCTCCTCTTCTGATGGTGAGCTGGTCCCTTGGCCTGCACAGGTGCACACTGCTTGCTTGTTACACGTGGTCTTCCTTTCAGTTACTACCTGGTGCTTATCAATAATTTTTTGGCACCTGACATACGTAGGGCACAACCTATGCATTTTTGAGAGGACACACAAGGTGGAGAAGGGGTCTGTTTCCCAGCGTTTGGCAGATTTGAAAATTTAATGCTCTGGACAAAAGCAATTTAGGAGCTGAAAAATCATGCACATTTTAAGGAAATACCAAAAAAGAACAGTACTGTTGTTAATACCTTAGAGATAGACATACGGCCATTGTGTCAATTTAGGAAAAACACATGTATTTAGATTTTAGTTTTTTCATATGTTTGCACGTTTGTTACATAAGACAGATAGAAATGTTTACACTTTCTGCAGTGTGTGAGGGAACAGGAGTTTGAAGGTGGAGTGAGTTGGGGAGAGGGTGATATTTCTGTGGAAATTTTAGTAAACTTTCTGGGTTTTTTTTTCCCCACCTATGGAGATGACATAGGACACAAAACATTAAATGTTAATATTGATTCAAGAATTAAATCATGAAAACATTGCTGAGGAAAATGAAAAATCTACGGAAATGAAGAACTATGTCTTATTCATGACCCGATTTTGTTAAGCTGTCTGTTCTCACCAAATTGATACGTAGATTTAATGCAATCCCAATAAAAATTTGCTAAAATGTTCAGGGTGCATCTGAAACTCATATGGAAAGGAAAAGGAATTAGAACAGTCAAAACAACTTTGATGAAGAAGAACAAAGGATTAATACTGCTGGACTACCAGAGTACTCTAGAGCCACAGTAAATCAGGACAGGTTGTTAGCATCAAGATCAGCAAATGAGGGGCGCCTGGGTGGCTCAGTGGGTTAAAGCCTCTGCCTTCGGCTCAGGTCATGATCCCAGGGTCCTGGGATCGAGCCCCTCATCGGGCTCTCTGCTCAGCAGGGAGCCTGCTTCCTCCTCCCTCTCTGCCTGCCTCTCTGCCTACTTGTGATCTCTGTCAAATAAATAAATAAAATATTAAAAAAAAAATAAACAAATGAACCAGCAGATCAGAGGAGAATGTCCATAAACAAACCCACAAAGGTGCAAAGACCGTTCAGCTCTGGGACAGTCACATATCCATTCACATAGTGTGGTTGGAACAATCAGATATCCGTATGCAAAAAGGAGAAAGAACACAGCTTCAGGGGTGCTTGGGTGATGCAGTCAGCCCCTCATAGCATACTCACAAATTAATGCTAACTAGATCATAACCTAAATAGATCATAAACCTAAAAGCGACAACTATAATACTTGTGGAGAGGAGGAGAAAACTCTTGTGATTTTGAGTTAGGCAAAGATTCTATTTTTTTTTTAAAGATTTTATTTATTTTAGGAAGAGAGAGAGCGTGTACTTGTAAGGAGAGGAGGAGAGGGAGTTAATTTCCAGCAGACTCCATGCTGAGCACAAAGCTTTGGTGTTGGAGGGGGAAAAAAAGCTTTGGTGTTGAAATTGTCATTACAACAGTCCACCAAATGCAGCTGTGTCAGTTATGCCCAAGGACACCCCCAGCTGAGAGGGTGAGTGGAGCTGAAAGCAGCCTGTACTTTAATGGCCAAGCCATGGGCCCAGTATATGTATGTGCCTGAGGAAAGGGAAGCTTCTAGTTAGCAGGAAGGTGTCTTGTGGGCTGCTTATGGTCCTGTTTCACATGTGTCTTAGAAGGTGGTGATGGGGGCTTCCCCCCAGAATGCTCCCCTGCCATCAGCAAGCTTTGTTGTGAACATGTCTTTTCCCTTAAAGAAATCCAGTAAATCACTTTCAGCGGAAGGCTGTCTTTAACCAGAATTCCACCAGATACTACAGTGTGTGCTGGAAGAGAGAAGGCGAGCTTCTCCAGCTGCCCTCATGATGCTTTTCCTCCTCTAGTTGGGCTCAGTTGCCCTTGAAAAGTGGAATGTAGGGTGTGGGGTTTTTTTGTTTTTTGGTCTCTCGAGGATGCCCAGTATCCCTCCCTTCTCTATCTGGATGCCATTAGTAACACCCTCAGCCAATGTTTCTGTGTCTGTATAAATAAACAAGTCATAGGAAAGGCAACTCCTGCGGCTTTTCTGAGTGAACTTTTTGCTGTTACTGAGCAGTCAAGTTTCCTAAAGAGAAGTCAACCCTTTCACTTCCAAAGATGCCAAGTATGAAGATTCAACTTGGAAGCAAAGAGAAAATATTTTTGACAGTCACAACTTAGCTTCAAATAAATGATGTCCAGATACTGACACCCACTTCCTTTCTCTCAAGCCTTGAGCCACCAGCGGACTCTGTGACAGAGGGTGGCTGATGGCGCCCAGCAGCTGGGCATCGGGCAGCGGTCTGCCCTTAGAAGTGTTCTATCAGGACCTTCGGCTTCTGAAAATCTATGCCCCGCCTCCACCCCACCCCACTACCCCATTTCTTCTATGTGGTTCACATTTCTTTCCTCCCTTTGAGTTGTTTTCCCTCAGGAAACAAACCACATCTCTTTCCTCTTTTTATAGATGCGAACTACACGCAAAGTCTCTGTCTGGCCAGTGGGCCTGGTTGGTGGGCGACGCTATGAACGTCCGTTGGTGGAAAATGGCAAAGTCGTGGGCTGGTACACCGGCTGGAGAGCAGACAGGCCTTTTGCCATCGACATGGCAGGTGAGGAGTGTGCGTGGTGACCTTTGCTCCTCCCCGATTGTTCTTCCAGGGGTCCTGTTTGTTTTAACAGTGTGCTGGGGGAAGGAAGCCTTGAAAGACCCTACGTTGTATTCTATTCAGCAGATAAACTAAATAAACCTTTGAAACAGGCTTTTTGATTAATTCAAGTAGAAATGGACCTCACGGGTGCTTAGAAATGATTATTCTGTCCCATTTTAGTCAGCTATCCATGCGGCCATCTCTTCAAAAAGCGTATATGTGCCGGGTGCTGGGCTGAGTGTCCGGTCAGTGGTGGGAACCAGACTTGGCCCCTCCTCACCAGGGCTGCTGCCTGTGCCTTCTGGTTCCCCACTCTAGGAGTCCAGTTGGTTTCAGTATATGACATGCTCACTGATAAGCTTAATAGTGATATAAAATTGACAAGCTAATAATTTTCATGCTTAATTGATAAATTCAGTGCTTACTGATACATTTAATAGCTGAAACATAAAATTGGGTTTCTGGTTTTTCAATCATTGCTTCACTGAGTATAACTATCTTTTAAAGTTTATATCCCCTGGAGCACCTGGGTGGCTCAGTCAGTTAAGAGTCCAACACTTGATTTTGACTGAGCTCATGATCTCAGGGTTGTGAGTTCAAGCCCCACGTTGGGCTCCATGCTGGACGTGGAGTCTGCTTAAGATTCTCTCTCTGCCCTTCCCCCCTCTAAAAAAATGAAGTTTTTATTCTCTGACCAACCCATTGAATTGAGTAAGACCTATAGTAGTCCACAAATCCTAAAATGCTACATTATCATAAAGGACTCCTTTTCAGTGGGTTATATAAGACGATGCCTGTGGTAACTGTGGAAGGATGCAGTTTAAAACATGAGGCTTAGAGGCAAGAAAAATCACTGACGTTTATAACCTAGAAGATGGAGGCAGAAAAGCTTCAAGGTTAATCTCCTCCATCTTCAACTCTAGAACACAGCCCTGTCTGTCTCTCTGTTATCCTGTGCTTGGCCAGACCTTTGTGTGTATTTCCCAACTGCACTCAGAATTCTGATGGGACGAAGACTGCATTCTGAACTGGATTCATCACTTTTATTTTGACGATCCTATAAATTTGAGGGAGCAAGATTATGAAGAGTGTGAGGAGTGAGAGTTGTTGGGGCGAGTTCTGGTACACGACGCTGTGGGGGACCCCTTGCTCTGCATCACGGGATGGAATAGACTAGGATATTTTTACTCAGTGTTTAAGAAACATTTCCTGAGTGTCAGTTTTATGGAAATGTATTTCATGGTCTCTGACCCCAGGGACATTTTGGAGCTCTTACCCTTCCTTGGTCACCCTGTCCTGGGCTCCCCTCTCTATTTTCTGACCTCCCCCAACATAAGCCTTACCCTTTGGTCTTCAGTCCCTGCATCCTCAGGGCTGAGTGCCGTCTCCGCCAAGCCCTTCACCTGAAGGCAGACAGAAGTGAGGTCAGCCATACTTGGAAGGTCCTGAGGGTTCCCAAAAGAGGCCTTTCCTCAATGAAATGGGAATTCATCACTCTCAAATGAAAAGGCTGTGTCTTTGGAGAATCTGGTTTCTTGCAGAGAGGAAGTATAACTCTGAGCAGAAAACTTCGAGAACATTAGACAAAGTCTTTTGCTTCCCTAGGACTTCATTTCCCCATGTGTAGAATGAGATGTAGCGTGAACGACCACTAAGGTCTTCTCTGGTGTGTCTTTCTCCAGGCTTCTGTCCTTGGGAAGCTCAAAGAGAAGCCAGGTCCCTGGTCCCCCCCCCCCCCTTTTTTTTTTCTTAAAGATTTTATTTATTCATGAGAGAGAGAAAGGCAGAGGCAAAGGGAGAAGCAGGCTCCCTGCTCCACAGGGGCAGGACTCAATGCGGGACTTGATCCCAGGACCCCATGTTTTTTTAACCTGAGTGGAAGGCAGATGCTTAACTGACTGAGCCACTCAGGTGCCCAGGTCCTTGGCTCCTAAGTGAGGAGTTGAGACTGCGAAAGCAGCCAGCTGATAGGTGTTTGGCCCTGACCTTTCCCAGAGCCTTGCTTCACCACAGGCTCGGCAGGCGTGTCTCCTTATACACAGGATCTCTGCCCGCAACCCTGCAAGTTAGCTTCAAGGTGAGGACAACTTGGATTAAGTCTTTCTGGATTTTATTATAAGAACTTTTACGTAGATGATCAAGTATCCAGTAAATCCACTGAATATTTGCATTGATTCCCCCCAGAGTTTGGATCCAAATAGATATATCTAAAATTCGAGAAAGGCACATGTGTTTTATGCATTAGGCCTGGCCTGTGACAAGATATTTGGTACCTTTTTACTTCGGTCTATGACATGACTGATGTTTGGCTTTTTGTGAACATTTCAATATATTTTCAAAGCATAATATAAGGACTATCATAAAATATGAACGATTTGCCTATTTCTTAATTATCCCTGTTTCAAAATAGGAATGTAATTTCTGTCTCTAAGAAAATAGGTTTTGCCACACTAAATTATTTTCTTCACACATGCACTTGCTTTTGCAAATTAGTGTTCAGTAAATTATTAGTATATTTGGAAGCCTTTAAGTGAGAGTGATTTGGTTGATCAGGTGATGATTCTGATTTGGAGGGAGTTTGTTCTCCTCCTAAAACTTAAAAAGTCACAGCTTTGTTTACATTTCACGCAAGATTCACGTATTCTGAGTGGGAAGCGGGGCAAGACCTCACAGACCTTCACATATAAACGGTACTTCCCACTTCATTTTTAAGTTACATGCACTCACAGTGTCTAGAAGGGGAGAGAGAAGCCAGAAGGCCAGTTTTGTGCTGGCTTCTGGACGGTCAGGGCAGCTGCTCAGGAAACGGTCTGTGGGAGAGGAGTGAGAGGACCACGCTGGAGCCTGGGCCTCTCCTGGATTCCCATGAGCTGAGGAAGAGACTTGACGCCTCACCATCAGGGCACATTTCCACAACGGTTTTGCTGTGGGGGTGGCGAGCCCCTTCACTGGAAGCCCGTCGTGGTCTGTCCTGCCTGGATTTCTGTGAAGTCACAGCCTCGCCTGTCACTCGAAGCTGATTTGAGTATCAGACCTCGGAACTGTAGTGTTTGACGCCATTCAGGGAGTTTGACTCTGTGTCCATCTTTATTTTGCCATATTGGACTCGGCAGGGGCGATCTTTGCTCTCAGATGAGGAAACGCTGTTCTGGAATTACTGTGTAGGGGTGTTAATGGCAGAAGCAGAGATTGTCACACTGGGCGAAAGCTAAAAAAAACAACCCAAACTTAGGAATGATGACTACTGAAACCGTGAAACCATGGCTCTGGAGGGAGCGCAGCGGCGGCCATCCCTGCCGGGGGAAGCAGCACGCAGGCAGCTTCTGCCCTGGCTGCTGGCCACCCTGCTCCACAGGGCAGGAAGACCTGGGAACACCTGCTGTGGGCCCGAGCCTTGGGCTTCGGCTCCTACCCCTCGGGCGTCTGACCCGCTAGCTCTGACTGATGCCAGCAAGGCACTCCACACAAAGAGTTTAGCTCTCTTTGGAAGTCAGGGTGTCATTTTCAAGTGACAGACTGCTTTTGGCCACTTCCAGGAAGGTGTCAATAAGAACCATTGCTTGAAAGAACTGAGCTTAAAATAATCTTGAGCCTCGCGGGGAGGTGTGGATTTGTTCAAATTCAGAACTTAAGGCTGAGATCCCTGTTTTGAATTCTCACTGTGTGTGAGGTGGCAGGCAGGGCTCTGTGCTCCTTTAATGACAGTCCCATAGGGTTCCCAGTTGAGTGCCCGGCCCAGAGTAGGGCCTCCATTCCAGTAAAAACCCAGCAGGGTGCACCATTGTTCAGCTCTGCCCTAACTGCCTGGAGTCAGCTCAGACCCCACAGGTTAGCGGGCAGTCCCGACACGACTGCCTTTGCTTAATCAACAACAATTTGGGGGTCCCAGGCCAACTGCACTCCTGACTAGCTGTAAATCTGTTGTTTTTCTCTCAGGTTTGACAATTTGCTAGCAGGACAGTAAACAAACTCAGGATAATGCTCTATTTATTATTAGAGTCCTTTTACAAAAGGTGCAAATTAGGACCAGTGACATGAAGAGACCTGTGGGCTGAGGTCTGGTAGAGGATGCAGAGCTGCTATGCTGTTCCTTGCGAAATGAGGCTCTAGCCCCCTCCCAGTGCATTAATGCGTTCACAGAGTGGGAAGTTCCACTGACCCTCTGCCTCCAGGGTTTTTAGATAGTTTCCTTATTAGGCACATTTGATTGACTCAGTGGCCACACAATGGAACTCAGTCTCCAGCTTCTATCCCCAGAGGTCGGCATGGTCCTGCGGCATGGTCAGACATGGCCCCATGTTCCGACCCCCTAATCCTGTGCTTGGTTTTTCTAGGAACTGGCCCCCACTCTGGAGCTCTCCAGAGACCCTCTGCAGCCACCTCATTAGCACAACAAAGTCACTCCCATCCCTCAGGAAATGCTAAGGGTTTTACAATAAAAGCTCCTGGCCCAGAACTAGGCTGTCAGCTTTTCCCCATTGAGGATGATATTCGCTGTAGGTTTTTCATAGATCGCTTTTATAAAGTTGAGGAATGTTCCCTCTATCCCTATACTTTGAATCGTTTTAATCAGGAACAAACGCTGTATCTTGTCAAATGCTTTTTCTGCATCAATTGAGAGGACCATGTGGTTCTTTCCTCTTCTGTTATTGATTTGTTCTATCACATTGATTGATTTGAGAATGTTGAGCCACCACTGCATCCCTGGAATAAGTCCCACCTGGTCATGGTGGATAATCTTTTTAGTGTACTGCTGAATCCTATTAGCTAGGATCTTGTTGAGAATCTTGGCATCCATATTCATCAGGGATATTTATCTGAAATTCTTTTTGGTGGGGTCTTTGCCTGGTTTGGGGATCAGGGTAATACTGGCTTCATACAAAGAGTCTGAAAGTTTTCCTTCTGTTTATATCTTTTGAAACAGCTTCAGGAGAATAGGTATTATTTCTTCTTTGAATCTT